TTTTTTTTTTTTTTTGTTCATTTTCGTTATTCATAAAAATGTGAAATTTAATATCATTGTAAAATGCGTATATCGATAAGAAAAGAAATAAATATTAAATCGTACGTACCGTAATCATAATGCGATTGCGATGATAATTGTTCAGAACATAATTTATAGGCTTGAACAATTTTCTGAGCGAGATGTCGGGCCTCGTCAAAACCGTTCGAATATAAAGTGATTTCACCAATCATTGCGTAATCGGGTACCATCATGGCGACAGTGCGGAAAAGAACTTTTAAATTATCCGGCAACTCGGTACGACCAGCATAACTAATAACAACAAGAGGACGCATTCAATTAATTAATTGAAAAGTTCAATTATTCTTCTATGTTAATGAAATATATGTTTGGGTTTTTAATATTTTCACAGATGCTTTTAAAGTGCATTGTTTAGACCGAAATAGAAATAGATTCATGATGGCAATCAATAAGAATTGCAATTATTGCATACACAATAACATACACAAACACGATGGCAAATGAAATATTTACAGGAAAATTGATATAATATTTTTGCCTCATCTGCTTGATGGCTAAACGCCATGCAATAAAAAAAATTTTGTCCTCTTTCCATTTCCATTGGCCGTAGGTGGCCAGCCCTCTGGCCAGCCCGGCATACCACCCATCTTGAAAATATAAACGAGAAGCCTAAAAATTTTTTAGAGAACAAAAGAAGAACAGAAAAAAAAAAAAAAAAAAAACAAAGAGGAAAAAGAAAAATATCAGTAATAAATTTTGAATATGTTTGAAACCATATGCAAATGGCAGACTTCATATTCCTTTGGATGCATAAAACTTAAATCCGTATGTCAATGCGTAGGTAAATAACTAAACATCCATATGTACAGAAAAGGCTAAACGCATAACGAACAAGGCAAGGGTTTCCACTACTAGTACCATTTAAAAAAAAAAAAAAAAATACCTTCCAAAAATTCTCATATCCTTAGGTTGTTAAGTTAATATTGAGCATTTTTACTGTGCATATCTACGGCTCGCTTGGCAACTTGAAGTAACGGGACATTGCCTAAGTATATAAGATGATGAGACACAAGCTCATTTTCATCTGTCTGCGGAACAGTCCACAGTTCACAATCTTCAACACGAATTAACTGTGGATTTAGAAATATTTTTTTATTTTTTTAGACATTTCTCACAAAGAACAAATAAACTTGGTTTTTGGCTGGATAAAACACATTGGAATTTTTTGGTTATCGCAAAATAACTCCAGCTGTTGTAAAAGTTATTCCTTACACATATGTACATAGTCGTCGTTTTTATTTGTCTTTCTCCATCCACAACCGATCTAAATTGTTCTTCCTTCAAGGGTTAACTTGTGCTGCTTGTTTATTAGCTAATATTTTTGTATATGTATAAATAGATAACACAAATAATAGATACCGACATACATACGCACGGACATATTTATATAATATTTCCTTTTTTTCCTTAGATCTTAGGTTCGGTCAACACACACTCTATTTATTTATTTAGCCTTTTCATCATCGTTTCGTAGTTGTTCGAAAACAACTCTTCGTTTATTTCTGCATTTCTCAAGCACCAACGATGACATCGTATAGACTTTACCTCGTATTCTAATTCTTTCGTCAAATATCAATTTTGACATATTTACTGATGTGTGTGCTCAAGTGTAAGCCGAAAGCATGATTCTGTGAACGTTTCAATATCTTTTCATTAATAGCATATACACATACATATACCTGTGCGTATTGCGTCTCGCATGCGAGTATATAAAAATCGATCAGTAAATAAAAGCCACCTTTCATTAATGAAGACCAGTAGAAGAAGAATACTAAACGATCACACAGCATATCACGTGCCCGCAGATCATTTACATTAATAAAATTTCTTTATAGAATTCGTATTTGTGTGTATGTAACGACCATGCAATGCTGTTAATTAATGTTCTTATTAATGAAGCTTGAAAATATGATTTCGATAAAACTCATGTCATGCTCTAAAGTAAAACAACCCGTTTTATCTTGTATTATACATCAAAGCATATTTAATCACGTTCTAGAGAACAGATCGAAAAGGATTTTTAATTGCGAGCACTCCTCCTATCAATTACATAACAGTCGCAGCCGTTGTCTTGAAACTTCATGTCAATAGCACGCATTTGTTTCATAGTGTCTTAAGGGTAATCGACTAACACGATGCCACGTTAGATGTCGTCCATTCTGGCAGCCTCCTCGTCTCCTATTGCAGTCGTTGGAAAAAATCAAGTACATTAATGCCATCGGCACAAGCATTCAGTTTTTATGGGCATAATGACTTGATGGGAAATTGGTTTTCGACTTAGCACCTGAAGCATAATACGCTTATACACAGGAGAGTAGATATTTTTTGGCTTGTTAAATATGCACACAGACACAAAAATTCGTTTTGGAGTTCATTGCAAAACATTGTTTACAAAAAGGACATTTGATATCAAATTTTGTTTTTCTTTTTTTCGCTTAAATAACTCAACTCGCTACTCGCTTACTTTGAGGTCCTTTGACGACTCCCGATGACACCACAATTTGTTTGATGTTGGTGAACGGTGGTTACTTATGTGATCTGGATTAGATCTAGACATCATCAATCATTATTGGGACACTACATACAAGTAGCTTGGGCTAAGTGAATATGGCTGCGAATTAAATTTGAAATATTTAAGATCTGCTAAACATGGTATACGTTGGGATCTGCAAGTAAATGGAAAGTTTGCCTTCAACTATTGTATCCAAGCAATCGATGCGGTTAACCGTATACGTAGATATCCTTGTTGCGGATGAATTCTTATTACTGGTTAGGCAAAACACTTTTCTACAGAGTCGGAATATTCGAGTCATGCCCTGCATTATTAGTGCAAAATTGGTCTTAAGCTTTTGCACCCAGTAGTAAAAGTAGTAAAGCTGGTGGATTGAATGTGATCGGGCGGCTCCGTAAAAATACTTCGCATTAAATCACGTCACTCATTATACGTAGAAACTTTAGGAAACGGTAAAAACAAATTTTCGTATTAATAGTTTTTTTGTTACGTTTGTTGCCTTCCTTCCCCTTTGTTGTTGCTGAGAGTTTTGAAAGTTAATAAATCGATAGCTAAAATCTAGCTAATGTCTCCTTAGTCGTTCGTATTACAAAAGTCAGTTAAATTCGCCAACAACTACGCAGTACGAGCGGTAACGGTCTGAAATGGATCCGCAAAGAAACGAAATTACGTGAGAACGAAATGTTTTCAAAAATTGAATTCTAATGCTAATCCTAATGCTTAGTTGAAATGCTTTGCGATAAGGTTTTCCTCATACAAATTTCGAAAATTTTACATTATTTAGGGAAATGTAAGTGCACTTGTAAGTGTACACTGAAATGTTATGAATATTTTATTCGCAGCAGCCGCAATCGAAAACCCTAAATTAAATATAGAATTTGGTTTAAGTCAACCTAAATATATAAAAATGGCAAGAACACAACAATAAAAGCAACAGCAATAGACCACAATAAAAAAATAATTTTTGTTTTGTTTTTTTTTTTATTATTAAACTTGCACTTGTTTCGATAGAGAAACGATTCGATCGATATACTGTGAAAATGTCTCTATAACTGTATAACTGTAAATCAACATGAAAGCATAAAAAACTAATAGAAAGCAATGCTTATAGAGTAGATGTAGTAGGAGGAGTAGATGGTTAGGCATATGTGTGCTATATGATGAGGATGAGCGTACGCATGTGGTCGTCTGGTCACAGAAAATAGAATTGATTGGTTTGAGCAGTTACCAAAAATATTATTTTCATTATTCTCTCTAAACACCTGCATCAAGCAAATGTATAATAATTTTGTATAAATGTTGGTAACTAAGGCTAGAAAAGATAGGTAAAATAATGAAAATAGATTTAAATTTATTTTGCCTTATGTTAGATCAGTTAGCTACGTTTATGCACATCTCAATGTTTATTTGCACATTAAATGTACAAATGGATGTTATTTAAAAATGATTTTGAAAATCGTTTCTCTGTAAAAGAATTCTTGTTAGGTTAAACAAAGCAAAAAGCAATATATAAAAGAAAAGGAAAATCGAAAATTTCTGCCTTTTCAAGGCATCCTGCAACAAGAAGGTATATCACGTAGGGTATTATTGTTTGGTCGTATTTAATAAACTAAAAAATATTTCAATTTGTTTTAGTTTCAATATTTTGCACTCAAAAAATATTTTTCTATTTCTATTCTAACCATTTTATTACCATAACATTTTTGTTGCCATTATTGCCTCTGATATAAATTTCGGCATGCAATACAATAAAATGATTGTCTTAATCAAAAATAAATTACATATATTTTCCAAAAATTTTGTGCATAGCCTTGGAAAATGTACAACAAATGTTGGATTTTTTAATATTATGTAAACACGCACACACACACACACACACTGGGGGGCAATATATAATCATTTAAACATCCGTTCGGTTCACTCTATTTGTGCAGTGCGGTAATGTGATAGGCTAAGGTTATTTTTTATTATTAAGGTTAATATTTTGTTTTTTTTTTTTTTTTTCTTAAACTATTCTTCTTTAAAAGTGCTTTGAATATTTCGAGTCCGTCCATCGGTCCGTCTAAAGCAAATATGTTAATTCCTTTGTTATACGTTTACCTGAAAGGGGTAGACAGTTTCTTTGAACAATTGGATCGAAGGAAAGACACTTGAAGAGCTTATGAAGGATAGCCCATCCCAGGAAGAAAACAAAACAGTACATTTAAAGAATTGAAAAAAATCTAAGATCGCAGCTACTCTCGGGCGATCGCGTCAGCTGTTGAGGCCCAGACGGCACAAGCATTGCAACTTGTCCAAATTTAAATTGAAAAAAAAAAAGAAAATCATCCGTTTTTAAAAATTCTGATTGGCAGACAACTGGTTTGTGCCAAAAAGTTTCATTTTCAACCAAAAGAAAGTCTCACTTTTGTTAATAAAAGATCGAAAAAATCCTACGTATTTCGCTAAAGAATATTGTTTTAAAGCGACCTTAACTTATGTTGTTTGCCGCTTTGAAAACTTGTGATCCGAGAAAAACACAATTACCGTTCAACTGTCTTGGAATTGTGTCTGAGAAATTAGATATTTTGGCTATTTTCAAATTTGCCACGCCCACAATCGCCTTATCGCCTATGTGATTCTCGTTTTTTATATGGGCTGATTTAAGAAAATTGGTTTCTTGAAAAACGTACAGTTGTCTACCCCCTTAGGTCATCTCAATCGTTTGTTCTCTGCTTTTGTATCGAACACAGTCTGGAGAATCATTTATATTGTCTGCCTGTCGGTGATTATTGAAGCCTTAAAGAAGTCTTGCGGAAAGCTTAAACACGGTACATATGTTCATAGTTAAGCTCAAAAATGAATGCGATCTGCTTGCAATAACTGCATCCACGCGGACATACACACGCATATTGGGTAAAAACTTTAATTTACATATTATAAGACATGTTGTTGGGATATCCTTCGTACGTTTGGTGGAAAAGTGTTGCTAGTGAACCAACTTGCTGAGAATGAGTATCACAAATTCCCCTCAAGATATATAATATAATATTTGCGTTTTTGCAGACAAATGCAAACACATTTCAAAGAGATGTGAAAGCACAAACCAGTAAACATAACTACTGAAGGTAAAATTTCAATATTTCCAAAAAATATCATTTCTATTTGCATTTGTTTATTAAATGAAATGAAGTGATGAGTTAAAAAGAAACGTCTGCATGTGAAGGAGAAGACACACATTTAAATGTTAATAAAATAAAATTAAATTAATTATTAATTTTTTTTTGGAATATACATTGCATAATTATGTAATTATTGTATCCACCACTGTAAGATGAGGGAGGGGGGGAGAGTTACTCATTTTGTTTTTTGTTTTTTTTTCACAATGTAGTGAAGCTTCAGAGATCCTTGATCGCCGTGAAATTTTGACTTGTTCTACTCCTGTCTATCCGACAGGGTGCGTATTGTTGGCACTCTCCTGGTCGCTATCAATTTCAAGTTTAGTAAAAACATTGAAAGTTTCCGCACGAAGGCTGGTCTTGAAAATGAGCCAAATTGGTCAGAGAAGAAGCGCGTAGTGGAGCATAAACTGAACGCTACTCCGTTGTTTTTGAGAAAACATTTTTGGATTTTCTCTCGTCATTCGGAAATTATTAAAGTTAAAAGGATGTAATATTCAATATTCATTCTACGCGACACGCTGCTCTTTACCTCCAAAAATGTATAGAATCGGCCATGCCCACATAAAGTTATCAGTAATTAAAATTTACTTTTTTGACTTTTTTGAGATTTTATGCTTATTTGTCATAAGGCAAACAAGACAGAATGTTTTAAACTATTTTGTACATTGTTCAAGTGAATATATATGCTATCTGCCGAGAAATGGACTCATTCTAAAATGTATACGGCAGAAATCGTAGTAAATTTTTTCTTAATTATACCAGCGATATGGGTATCAAATAAAACGACTTGGAGAGTGGAACGGGAAAGGCATAGTAGTGGGTATGCGGGATTCGGCCGCCGCCGAATAAAACTTTCGTACTTGTTTGTTTTGTCTTTGATGGCAAAACTTTAACGCACATGCATACATCGCAATACTTTATTAAATGAGGTTAAATATCGAGGATTAAACTTGTTACGACTCTTCAGTACATACGTATAACGGAAATCACCATATATCGCATGCACAGATCTGTTATGATTTTTGTAACTGCACAGATTTGCTTCGAAGGATAATATATTTAAAAATGCAAACAAGAAGGGAAAAAAAGCGAAACTATATAACACAAAAAAAAAAAAAAAAAAAAACAGAAAGCAAAAAAGACAATCAGTTTCAGTAGAAATATTGATGAGTTCTTCTCAGTTGGCTTGGTAATCGTAAAGATACTACTCATGCTGTGTGTTTATCGTCGTGTTGCCTTTGGGTGTAGCTATGCGTTTTAGAAATAACTAAAACTACGAGAATTGCATTCGCTTTAAAACGAATTCCGAACGCCGGTCTTTTATTGCGTAACTATCAATCCGTGTCATTATCCGTAAATCTTATATGAAATATTCAAATGAGTATTTTGATGATTTGAGTCCAAGTATCGCATATCAAATATCGATTTTAAAAATTTCTTAAACTTTTCAAGCAACGACTGTGCCCACTGCCTAATATCCCATATCAATTAATTCGAGATAACTGCAAATCCATAAAACTGTTTCTACATTTCTATACCTTGAGAGACTAGTAGAGTAGTTGCAGAGTTACATCTGAATGTTGTAAACGGAAAGAAAAGTATATTTTAGTGTTAGACTAAAGATAGCGTGTGTATAATAATGCATTGACAAAACATAACAATGTATGCAACGTTAACCAAAAGACTATAATGATAAATAAAAACGACATGAAAACTAAGAAAGAAGGTTAACAAAACAGCATGACTGTTATTGTAGGCGAATTCCGAATGCCCTTCGAATGCACTGTGAGCGGAAAAAGCTTTTTGAATAAAGAAATAATTATTAAGGCTTTATAAGCATTAATCGGATAGCATCAGACAGATAATTACGGCTTTATTAAAATTCATTATTTTAGTGTACCAGATTTCGTTTTCATCTTACGGAGTTTCCTTTAAATCGCAACATTTTTCAACACCTCATTACTCGATTTGATATTAAAGTGTGCGTATCACATATGAAAATATATTTAATCACGTCAACATTTTTTGTTTGTACGTTTATAAATGTAGAGAAAAGAAATCGTAAAAAAAATCGGTAACGATTAAAGTCATGGTAAAAGCATTTAAGTGTACGAGTGCATTGAAGGCACAAATGAATTTCAAAAGAGTTACCCGAAAACGAAAAGGAACTGAGGCAAAAGTACAAAAAACAAAAAAAAAAAAAAAACGAAAAAAAAAAGTAAATAAATAAAAAAATAAAAAACAAAAACTAAAAAAAAAAAAAGAAGAAAAATGGAAACCGAGTCTAAAGGAAAAATTTTTTTGCAAACATTGTTTGCTAACCGCTAACAATGCCAGCCAACCGAGTAGTTGGCAATGGAAGCAACAACCGGAAAAAGAATCTTGTATACAAACCATATACACAACTGCTGCGTCAACATAATCAATGGTAAAATGGGACAGGAATACACACATGTACCAACATCTACATGTAGACATTAAAGAATTCTTGAAAGAAGCAAACTACAACGCACTGCACCCATCTTTCTACCGACTCTAATGTAAAATAACATAAATTTACAAGAAATTTCCATCAAAAGGAAACAAAAGACAGCCAGCGACTGTGTATGTATATATACACGTATATGTGGGCGTGGGTATATGAAAATTAAGGGAGTGGGGGTGGCAAGCAATAGCCACGCAAAAATGAATGCATGCATGCATGTGTGTGTGTGTGTGTGTGTGTGTATCAAAATTCCGCATCATTGTACAAAACTTACCCGGGATTCATGGTAATGAACACCGAACATGTAGGATCCAAACGCAACATGGTATCTTCGAAAAAAAATCGCACCACTTTTCTGCCAATGGCTCGCTGTATAGTTAATATCTGTTGGGCAACCACCGACAATACTTCCAATTCAATGCGATTGAATTCATCGAAACAAGCCCACGCGCCAGATTGTGCTAGACCCTAAAGAAATCGGAATTTAACAAAAAAAAAAAACAAATAAATAAATATTAAACATAAATGAACAACAACAATAAAACTTCTGCCTTCTATGCTATACATATGCAAGGCAAAAAAAGAGAGAAAAAAAAAAAAATGGAGAAAAAGGATAAAAATAAATGCACACAAGAAAAACGTATCATTCACAAACGGACACAAAAGCGTATCTGAAAAAAAAAAATTGAAACAAAATAAAGGAAAAAAATTAATAAAAAAAAAAAAAAACAAACGTGTGAAACATAAAAGGGAAAACGCACGTTATCTTCATTCAATCACTGACTCATTTACTCACCCACACCCCTTCACTTACGTACGTTCATTCGGATTATTACTGTTGAGTATATCCTCTATGTGTTTTATTTATTTATTTTTATTTTTATTTTTTTTTTTGTTATTAGTGCATTTTTCGAGAGCATAGAAAACGGCGCAGGATTTATGTTTACGTCTTGTGCTACATGCATCCATAGATATGTTTGGTCAGATAGTTATGTAAAGATATACTTTTGTTCTTGTGGTTTCTTTGCCTTAAAATTTTTCTAAAGTTTCCCTTGATTTTCGTCTTTTTTTTTTTTTTTTTTTTTTTTTTTTTTTTTTTTTTTTTTTTTTTGTTATATTTCTTGTCTCTTGTGTTGTTAATACTTGTTTTTGCTTGTACTTTTTGCTTTATTTTTTTTTAACGATATTAATGTAATATGGATAGCATTCTCGTTCGCTTTTTGCATTTTTTGTGTGCATTGGAATGTGTGTTGTTTAGTGATTGTGTGCCTGTTAAGTCTTTCTATTTTTTCCTTTAGTTTAGAAACATTTTCAAGGTATCGTTTGATATTCATAAAGCTTTAATGTGTTTATCTCCTTTTTTTCTCTTCTTCTTCTTTACACGTATAGAATTTTTTTTTCAAAGTCATTCACATATAAAATCATAGATTACGACAGGATAATATAGGCGCTGTAACTCCTTCACATATTCATCCAAAATATAAATAAATTCGTGATAGAAAGTCAAGAGAGATGTGTCTAAATGTAGATGTATACTAAATCCCGAAATTCGGCGAATGCAAACTTCGCCGGTAATACAAAATCAAAAAATTATTTTTTTTACGAGTTGCGCTTGACGTCTGTGTAGTGTTTCACAGTAATATGTTCAATTTCCGCAGTAGTTATTTATATTTTTATAAACATGCAACAGAGTTTTTCGATTATTAAAATAAAAAATTCGCTAAATTTGACGTGCGGAATAAATATTCTGCCGTGGAAACTGTGTGTTTGGTAGTGAGGTTTTATCGCAAAACAATGTTCACAAGTAGTGCGTAAACTACAAAAAAGGTGAGGAATGAGTTCAGGTCGAGCAGCACCCTAGACAGTTGTCTGCATTACCCGATAAAAGCCACATCAAGGTAAGCAAAAGGATTCGGTACTCGAAAACTATCGATTGACAATTAGCAACTTTGCCGATGCTACGAGCATTTCACTTGGATCAACATAAGCCATTTCGTAAGGCGCTCCAATCCCAAAAAGCGGCAAATCTCGATTGGGAAGAAAACTGTTTTTGGTTAAATAATGATTTCTAGCAACTAGAACATCCCTCGCCCGGTTTAGAGTCTCAAGCGGCTTGCAGCTGTTTAACGAACGCAACAGATCGCTCCAGTGAATCGAGTATTTAAGGCTATCCCGTAAAAAGACTTCCCTGGCCGTTTTTAAAAGATCGGGAAAATCTTTGGCACAAATGTATTGTGTGCGACGAAAAGTACCTTGACGGCTTTGATATTGAAACCGGGAATTGGGAGAATAAATGAAGATATTTCATTTTGTAAGCAGCAACAAATTTTGATCATAAATATAGCCTATCCATATATATAGCATATATCGGCCATATATAGCACTACTGGACCGAAATCTAATCTGCCATCTTCTTAAGGTATATTGACTGCACAGGGAGGGAATGTTGAACATTGGTTTTTGAAATGCGACAAAACTTTCTAACCCAGACATTACGGTGAAATCGGAAAAATGATAGTCGTATAGGAAGGGGAGAAAGGAATGTTGTCGCTTAGGTGATTTTTAGATAATTGTGAAAACATCAATTTCAAGGATTTCAGATGATATTTAAACTAAACCATTGGAAACGTTAAACGAATGAGCGAAATCATGTTATGCAGTGAATTTAAGATATCGGGTAAGTGAATAAGACAAGACTCTAAAGGAAAATGTATATTTTGATGCGACTAATGTCACTAATCGTAGTGGGAAACAACGTGTATTCTTGTTGTTGTAGTTATTTCGATTTTGTATGAATTTTGGTATTCCGAAATAGTAGAAGTAAGAAAACGCCCCGATACCAATTTTAATCTAAAACAGGTTTGTTAGGTCGCGAAAAAGCGCTTTTATGCCTCGTGACTTGCAATGTCGCTGTGGTGTTGCGCAGAATGCGGCTATAAGTGTATGACCCACCTCATCAGCCTATAGACTTACAGGTCATTATATTGAGAAATTCAAAATATTAAAGTATCAACTATCATTGACAAGATCATCGTAAAGAATCCGGAAATTTGTTTGTGAAGATCGAATTTTGAAAAGATTCCAGATTCCAGCGGAATCTGTACAACATTGTATAGCAGCTCTGCCAAACTTTGATTCTGAGCGAGAATATTATTTTTATTTACTACACTCAACGAGAAGAGGAAACTTTGAAGAAGAAGACTTTGGGTTTGTAAAATAAAACAAAATATTTTCTTATCGAATACTCAGTAAAGGGAAAATGTAGCGAATAACAAACGCATCAAATTTTGACGTACGTAACTCGTAGTGTCGAATTAAAAATAATTTGAAATTTCTATGCAGCATAATTTAATACTTAGTCGTCAGACGATTTATATGAAGCCTTTTACAATTTAATTCCGAAATTTTCCAAGTCTTTCTTCTCGATGCACTCAAACATATTTCTTTTTTTGTTGTTGTTGTTGTATGTTTATTTGTACCTTGCATTTCTTTCATTCAGCCAGAATATGTTAGTTTTGTGCTATCAATTGTAACATCTCCGCGACATTTATGCATATATACTGACAAATACCCTATCCCCTTCCCATATTATTCGAATAGAGACCAAGCTTTGAGTCAAGATGATTCTTTGAATTACTTGAATGAAATTTTTTTTTGCGTAAATCGAGTAATGAACAGGTGCGACTTACTGTCAGGGAAATTATAATTGTATAGTTTGGCTTTACGCGTAACCGCCCATTATGTAAGCATATAATTCAATGCAACACCTAACCGTGGAAATTTCGCTATACAAATTATGAAAGCATTTTTAAGCCTTAATTAACAGGGGAATCAAAATTGAGGAGCCGATATACGCTTACATATAGCAGACTATGATAACGTTGCCTTTGACTGACTATAACAGTCTTGTTTGTTTATAAATTCTATGAAATCTATGGATGAAATATTTCTTGAAATTTATTTCCTCGCTCTTTCTTCTTATTACATACATATGTACTCTAAAGCTTTAAATCTCTCGCACAAAGCAAGTATTCAATGATACTTAAAAGTCTTCACATTCTGTTTGTATACCTTGGGCAGGCAGCATTTATAGCAGATTCAAGTACAATTGAAATGTTTCTTTAGTTAAAATGAACAAAAGTGTACTTTTGCGGTGTACAAATGATTACCGGTTAAAGGGTTCTATTAACACGAGAGGGCAGAAATGAATGAATAGTTTTCTTAAAGTCATTAATTTAAAAAAAGAAAAAAAAAAATGAAGAAAAAAACATAAATAAGTAAAAATATTGCGATATTTTAAATTAATGAAAAACAAAATCAAGAAAAAAAAAAAAAAAGAAAAGGAAAATTTAATGCACCTTAAAAAATTTGCCCAACGCCTTGTAATCTAAGCCATCGGAGCAATTAAAAACCACGCATTTCTTTGCTACGGATTTGGCCAAATCTTTGCAGGTTTCCGTTTTTCCGGTACCCGCAGGGCCTTCGGGTGCACCACCTAAACATAGCTTTAAAGCACCCATTAGAGTTCTACGTTGCAATAAAAATTATTTAATGTGTGTATATATGCATGCATATATATATATATATATATATATATATATATATATATATATATATATATAGATATTGATATATGACTAAAAAATAATAAACATTTCTAGACCTGTAGCATCGATCGGTTAGCGGTGTTACTACCAAGCGTGTTGTATTACCCAGATATTCCATGCCATATTTGACATCGGTTACAACCATACTGACAAACACCCAGTCCTCTTTTTCTAATAATTAAAAATCGAATTTGAACTATGACTGACTATCATACTACTGACTAATTTACTTCATTTACTTACTATCTATACTTTTCCAATAATAACGCAACTGTGATATCCAATCAAAGTCTAACAAGCTGCTTACATCCATATCCAATAAATATTTGACGACATCACGAGCTTTATTTGAATGAAATGAAGAAAACATTTTACCGTATAACGTTACGAAAACCAGATGCTTGATCAAATATGAATGTCCATCAAAACCGTCTATTTCTGTTGAAATGCAAATGCAGAGGACGAAATGTGGGAAAGGAAATGAGAGCAAATAGAGATTTTTCAACAGTTAAGTCGCCAGCAACATAATTATGTATGGGCTGTGGTATGCAGCTGATGGATGATAAAAAAACAATTCTTTGCTTACAGATATGTTATTGAAGAGGGAGAGGAGATGAGAAAAACGTCAGAACAAAATGCGACAGTTGTGACTGTTTGCAAAAGAAATCCTCAAGAGCAAACGAACGGCGCAAAGCCTAAAAAAAAAATGCAAGCCTTCAAAGTGGTTGTATTCTTCAAAAAAATAATCGATTAATCGATTCGATCAGTGACATAAAGTTACCGAAATGATGAATCTCTCGTTGCTATAGATAAGTGACCGTCACATTATAAATCGTTTCCCGCAAAACGTATCTTCGAATTTTGTCAATAAATTCCTAAGCCACGTTAATTAATTTAAGATATATAAATTAGATATAATATGTAACTGGAGAGAGGGAAGAAGGCAATTTTACGTAGTAGAATGTGATGCTGTTTTGTAATGATTAAAAATCCAGTGAACTGCTTACCATGTACATCTAACACAATAAGAGCTTCTATTGTGATTCGAGTGCCGGTCGCCAAATCCGTGCGTACTAATTTCACAAGATCACTAATTTGTGCATTACTCTTCTCAAGATAAATAGGCAATTCCTCCGCCTCAATTGCTTCTTCTACCTAAAATTAAAAATTGCGAACTAACGGCTTAATCGCGTTATGTGAAGAAGAAATGCTTTTCGTAACCTCATATGTCCAGGCCATACAAGATATGCCTTGTACAACTTGTCCCGGCCAAGACACTACCCAATTTATACGCTCCACTTGGAAATAGTCTTCCCATGCGAACCTCATCTGTTCCTTGACACTTTGCAGCATAGTGCTTTCAACATCTTTTAGCCAAATTTCCACTAAACCCTGTAATAAGATATCGTATATGTAGCGTTCACGACATCGAACTCTTATCACTCACATTGGCTGATTGGGGATTGACTTTGCGTACTAAAGCGACATGTTCATCTTCATCCGAAATCATTTCAACTATTTCCATATTATCATCAAATGTCAACATGCAAATCTAAAAATATAGAAAACTCTATTATTATTGACTTTTTGCTTTGGATAAATAACTGTCAACTTACTCCTTCGAAGCATTTCTTCAAATGAGGTTGCACTCGTAGGGGATCTTTAGTCTCTGATAAAATTTCTAATAATTCATCATTCGATAAGAAGAAGAAACGGGCAAAGAATAAACGCTTTTGTTCGAGATATGTGTTTAAGCCCTTCTGTACAGTTTCCAGATCGTCTACCGCTTTAAGAAATATATCGAGCATATTGGGATATTCGGTGGCTACCATAACATGTAAATCGTGATTAGTATGACGCATAATCCTGCGCCATACCTTATCGACGGCTTTAAAGTTGCGACCTTCTAACGGCATTTGTCTCATAATGTCCTCGGAACTGAAGATAGGCTCTAAATACATCCATGTCACTTGAACTTGAGTCCACGTATCAATTATGTTTTGTACTTGGGTTAAGCGATTCTCCCAGTCGTCGGCTTTAGAGCCAAGGGCCACTATAAATGGCGATCTCTTCATTGCCTGCGTACGCATTATATGATCATCCAGTTGAGTTTGTATATCATCTATTGAGGCTAAAATGTGTGTATCAGAATCGCGATACTGGAGAACATCGAACTGCACATCTTTCCAATCATTCTTCATATTATCGAGTACGGTCTTCAAGTCGTATTCTTTGCCAGCGGCTACCGAAATCTCTTCCAATTGCGGTAAAATGTTCATTATACCAGCTTCCAATATGTCCCGTAGCGACGGATATAATTTAGGATTGCATTCTTTGCCCAGATGATCGGAAATTTTCTGCCAATGCCTATCCTCTAGGCCGTGACGACATACCGAATCTAAGACTGGAATGAAAACCCGGAATTTCTCAATTTTCGCTCTCATTTGCTCGCATGCACGTTTGGCCATAGGATTAGTAGCCAATTGACGTGATAGTTTGTACATTATCTGACCATGCGACGTAAAATGGAGAAAAAGCAAAAATTCAATAACGTAAAAAAAAAAAAAAAAAAAATGAAAAAAGAAAAAAGAAAGAAAGAAGAGAAAAAACAAATATGAAAAATCATTGTGAGCATTCGAACGATAGAAATGAAATCGGAAAACGTGTAAAAATGCACTGATGCGTTATATTGCAACATCACCCTAACAGGCTGCTGCTCCTTTCCTGTTGCCTTACACAAGTTCCGCAGAGCACTTAAATAGTTTATGCATGTCCGTGTTTTCTTCTGCTACTTTGAAATGTGTTTTCATGCACCTCACAGCAACTCAGTTAAATGAAATTTTTCTTACACATCCGCAGATATATTAATTTCATCATCTTGGTCTGCGTGTAATACTAAAATTCGAATTCACCTCAATCGCGAATAACAACCACCCATGTCAAATGTCCTTCATTTCGGTCTGCATTGTTAACATCGAAATTTTTTTTTTTTTTTCCATTTGAATAAAATCTGAATTTTCTTGAACTAAGTGCAACTAAATATTGCTTGCTTCAAATTTATTAGAGACTTAAAATTGCGCATGATAATCGGAAAATCTATAGCGAGCAAGTAGTATGTTGCCAAATAGTTTGCTGAATTGAAAATTATTAACAGTAGATATAAGGAAAGTCGAGCATTGCCGTTCAGTATTTTCGTCTTGCTTTTTATCATTTTTTGTTTTAGATGCAGTTAGTTGTTACTGTCCAAATTGTCAGTTGTGTGCAATATAATCTGATCAATTGAAGAAGAACTACCCCAGTGTCACTTGGCCATTTCCTACTTACTTACCCTGTACATATTTTCAACTTCTTCGCTTATGACATCCGCATTTAAGCATGAGTACGGCTGGTACATCCTGCAAAAACGTATGAGAAAAAGCGACATAGAATAGAATTGAACATCATTCAAGACGCAATAGTAACAGCATTAGAAATATCAGCAGCAACTCATCTTAATCAATTTGATATAGATAGAAAGACATTACTTTACGAGGGTAAAGAAAAAATAAATTTTACTAAATAATGTGCTGAAATTTACCGTCCATCCCTACCGCATTCTCATAAAACATTTTAGCAAAGATTTAAACAAGCCAAACGTATTGACTTAACATAACTGGCGGTGTGTATACGTAATGATTATATGATATATTCTATATATATATATATAGTGATGATAGCAATAACCGGAGCAGCAGCTATCAACGATTTTCCAAGTATTTAAGAAGAAAATCATGCTGTTCAAGCGTCGTTTTGCTTTTTGCTATCATTCTTCCTTAAAATGGGGTTGTTGAAGATTGTTCTAGATTATTTTATTTATTTCTTTTTAAATGCTGTTAACGATTGTTGAGTTTTTAATGATTAAGGAAATTACGGATGTGACCTGCTCCGCGATAGCATTAAGTATGGGATGAAAGTCGAAAGAAAATTTAACGAAATTTCATATATAATTTGAAATTTGTGATGCTGCATTTTAGCCAGTGAACTATTTCAAAAATTATCTTAATAGAGAGTAAGCATAAGACTTATAGTTAAGCAATCTATCTTACTTTTCTTTCAAAAATTCTCACTGTTATGTGGGGAAAAATGTGATTTTTATGTTTAATATGAATAATATGAGGTAAATTAAATGAACGTGATTCATATATACATATATATATATATATATATATAAAACATAAAAATAGACAACGAAAAATTTTATATTTAATACCTAATAGTGGATACCAGCAAGTAGCCTTACATGCTACTGCTAAAATATGACAAGAAAATTTCCCCCTTAAATAGAAGAAAGCGCCAAAAACTAAATAGCAAACAAAAGTCTAGTCATCAGTGTTAATTACAGTTTGGCATTCAAAGTTCTTTTTAATTTTAAAACGGCCGCTCTCTCATCGTTTTCATCAGAGAAAACGTTACGTATTTCTTGATTGCGTCATAAAAATTGATGAAAGTTGCTGACATTCGTTTGCACAAATTATTTGAATTTTCAATTGTATGCCAAAAAAAAAAAACGAAAAACGAAAAACGAAAAACAAAAAAAAAAACAAAAATTTGAAATGAAAATCATAGCAACAATCGTACATACCATATATGATGGTCTTTTTCAAATTCATATGCTGTGTTCCATAATTTCTCTATGGGTTCCATTTTTTCCAAAATTTCGGCCAAAGCTGCAAATGGCGAAACGTCGAGTTGCAGTAAATGTTCTTCAACGTTAATAGCTTTGGCTTCACGACTCAATTTCTGCCAGAAAAGTAACACAAACGCAAACACAATGGCAGTTATCGTCAATATGAATTAGTTGTAGCCAAGCAAGTGCGATACATACTTCAATCATGTCAAATAATGCATCGACAGTTTCGACACGTTCTTTAAGTTCATCCAGTGTAAGCATTTCGCGTGTTTCCTTAACGCGAAAACCATCCATGCGGCGTTTTTCAAAAAGAATTAATTTTTCGAAAGTTGTTCGCTTTTCACTAAGGTAGGCATAAAAAATATGAAGAAAGAGATGAAATTCAAAAAAAAAAAACAAAATAAAATAAAATAAACTAAAATGAACGCAATATATAATGCAGATAAAGCAAAACTAATAAAGAATGTGGATAAGAAAAAAAGTCGATTACAACTCATACAAAAATAATTTTAAAATTATATACGACTCGCACACGAAGCTACACAGGTTTCCCGAAGTGAAGAAAGCTGCTCGCCAAAAGCGCCCGCAATCTTTGGTATTTTTGTCTTAGCGAAAATTTACGATTTTGCTAGAGGTCTTTAATAGGTTATGATAATCCACGAAGGTAAAATAAAAGCCGGCAAAGTAGCTATGAAAATTAAAGAATTGCAAAAGAGACCAAGACTCTTTCATCTCATCGCAAACCTTTTAAATTATTGCCATTAATTATCGTGCAGTGTGCTTGTGTAATTATTGAAGGAATATGACGGATAAGCCGCGTCAGAAACACTTGCACGGACCTATCACTGAACTCTGAACTCCAGAAGTCGGCATTCAATCAAGTGGACAACAGCCAACGCTTTAATGACAAAAGCAATTCGAAATGGACTGAATCTTCAGAAATCTATATATATGAATGGAATGTATATATATATATATATATATATATATAGGAAGAAAGTTCCTTTTTCACTTAACTCAAATATTTTTTGAGTGTATTTGCATATCAACATAAAAGTTTCCGGATCTTCTTCAGTTAAAGTTTCCCCTTTTTATGGGGCATTGGAGAATAGCCGATTATGATCATTTTAAAGCTATAAACCTTTCTTCCTTTAAAATTTTTTTTAAACTATATCCACATTTCAAGCAATTTTTTCTCAGCTAATTTTACGCAGGACGCATGAACTTACCGTAATCCAGCTTCCAAGTTGTCACGAATAACATTTAAACGTATAGCACTTAAATCTAAAACTTCTTCCAATTCACCCGGCAAGATGAACGTACGAGAATTCAAATGAATTTCCGCCTCTAGGGTAAACAAAGTTCAAAACATTATAGATCTAAGCAAGGTGTTATATATAAGAATGAATCTTCTCATATCCTTGACTAAGGGCTTATGAAAAAGATTAGCTTTGTTTTAAATAAACAATATATATGTACATACAATAAATTATATATTACATATCTTTGATCTACGTGACAGATTGAGTTGATACTGATTTTTTTCATTCACGCGTTTCTTTCTCTATGTTTTTGTATACTATTGTGAAGATAGGCTGGGAGAATACAAGGGAAATTGAAATATATTTTTGATTGTAGTGCATGCTTTTGACGCAGCAACTTTCTAAAGTAAAACAATTCTATAGAGAAGTGAAAAATTTTCATATTTCACGCTTAACGTGAAAGGAGAATAATATGCACAAAGGGATTTATTTCAGGTTGAATCTGAAAGAATTTTAGTTTTCAAAAAAATATATATATATATATATTTATAAAAAAAAGGAAATCGGATTTGATACGATTTGTGCTCTAAGGATAATCGAAGTTTTCTTTTAAAAATAATTAATATTTTTTATTATATTTCTTATCCTATTGTTTGTTCTAATAAGTTCTTCAAAAACTTTTTAATGCAGTTTAGTGCAGTTTCTATTTAGACTTGTTGTTCTTATTTTCGTTGTTTTCTTGCGTTCAGTGTATTTCTTATATTTGCTTGAACGTTGCTCTTATATGCAATTAATAATAACGGTTACCTGTATGTATGGTGTGCGTTAGCAGGAAGAGAACACGCTTAGCCACAGTCTTTATATCATTCTTTATGGCAAATATACGTTCATCTCGACATTCAAGCAAGTAATTCTGTAATGCTACAACCTCGGCTGTCTCTTCTGGACGCTCACCGGCTTTCATAGACATAGACTCCAAAATGTCACATATCCTTCGTTTCCAACGTATGAATGGAATGCAAATGCAAAAAGAAAACTTCAATTAATGAAAATGGCTAACGGTTTATTAAAAAGAAAAAGAAAAAAAGAATTCTTTCTTTGACGCCTATCACCTATCACCTATTTCAGAGCATCACACTTTATAAAAATTGCAAATTATGAGTAACAAGCATGTTAGTTAATTGATCAGAGATTTTTTTTACTTTTCGAATTTAATATTTATTTTACAGTTGTTTCCTTGCGTCAATTTTGTTTGCGGACAAATCACTTGTTGACTTTGAATGATAAGCATATGCCAATGATTTTCATATTGTTATGGATTTTAAGTGGCAAACTGCTGGAGGTGTTTGTACGTATATCATCCTCATATGTGGATGTTCGTATAATCGTTCGCGCTCATTTTCAAACATGCCTAAGCCATCAGCAAAGTTCCACTCAAGAGTTCGCACAAGGTATGGTAGCCAGACGAAAAAATGAATATAAAAAAAAAAAAAAAAAAAAGTCAAAATGACTTAGAATCCCACGCTGCATCTTTACATGTGCGAAACGACGAAAGAAATCTAATATATGTAAATGTACAATTTCTCGAACTGGAATATAAAAAATTTCATTAGAATCGCTTAACGGTGTATATTGAATAATCATCACTCATTCACATCAGCGTACATAAGGTTGAGGCAGTTATACCCTACACTACATGTGTTGCAAAGGCATATTAAGTTTGTGCGGATGTACGCTACACCGAGAAGGACTTGAGAGGGATCTACTGATTGATTTAGAGTCATTTTGTGAATAGTTTTAAGCTCGTCTGTCTGTCTTGTTTTCATGTATTCTACCTATCGAGCGCAATTTTTGAGATATTTTGATAAAATTTGATACCTGTTCTGGGCTTTTGATTTTATATTTCGCCGATATGCGAATTCTAACAACAAATGACCAATAGAATAAAAATAAAAGAATATTCTTTCTTAGGGGTAGTGCGCCTTCGGGAATGCTACAAACGAAATGAAGCCGTTCGGATATCGGAATAATTGTCATATAGAACAGATAAGAAAAAATTGTTTACGATTTACTATTCCATGATGATTTTGCTTTTTAGTACTATGGGAAAGAGGAGCTATTATCTTGCATATTAGGTACGTTTCGTCGGCATGTTAAAATGCTTTCACAAAATTACTTTCTTTTCGTATTTTAAATACTTACGCGCGGTTCTCGTTAATATTTGCTGCATTATAAAAATCAATAATGAAATCGTAAATACGATCCGTTAACATAACAATTGCTCCTTTTAAATGACGATTGTCCAGTTTGAACAAGTTCAGTGGCACAAAATCTCGCAACGTATAAGATTCTTTGATAATATCTTTCAATTTTCTCATCAAGTTAACTACAGCCTGGAAGAACACAAAAAATAGAGGGGTTAGTACTTTACTATCAATTATACGAAAAAGAGTAATCGGGAACAGTCAAGCTTTCATTTCAAGATTTTCAAAAAATTAATTCTATGAATGCAATAACAATTACAATCTAGTAAAAATATTATCCAGTTGAGTACCTATGTCTGTCTCATCTGGATTTACATGTCGTTTCAAATGTTTTCTATGAAATAAAATTAGTGGGTGATGGCAGACTGCTCAAAGGCGGCGCTCATTTAGATTACAAAGATACCCGGTCGTTTGTATGTCGATTATTTCATTTGAGGAATGTGGTTAGGAAAACTATTACTGCGAAGGAAAATTGAATCGCTCCTCTATTCTCTTTCATGGATATGGCCGATGTCTTTGAGATGGGTAAGTTGAAGACAGTTAAGATTTGAAAAAATGTTTCATTACTTTTACGTAAACGCATAGCATTGGCAGAGCAAATAACTTGACGTCTCGTACGTGAAGCTCGTTTTGATTAAGACATGTGTCTGACTTAATCGGAGATGTAAGCTCTATATGATAATGGCAGCGAATTCAGATATTAGTGAGGTTGATGAAATTGCGTGCATATTACCGAAGATTATCCACACTTCTCTTACTTAAAGCTACAGTCAAAAGAGGTCTACGCGGGCGAGGACGAATAATAAAGATTCGATTAACTAAAAGAAATTTAATCTAGTCTGTTGTTTAATTTCTATAGGGTGTTTTCTCGCACCTGACATAATAACTCTATTGAGTCGCGATTCGGTGGGGAAGCAGGTCTATATAAATTCTTGTTGTGGACAACACCGGTGTATCCGTTTCCACGAATAAAAAAAATCCTATTTTTGTTTCGTCGCATATTTGTTTTCTAAAGAAACGGTAAGATCGTCTCAAAAATGAGCGCTGAACGACGACTTTATAACATATATACATATGTCTATTTAATATCTATTCTCTATGGATTATATTAGTTAATGAAATTCGCCGGAGCACGCCTATGTTATGCATTTTTTTAATAGCCTTCCTAAGCTTAGCTAATTTTAAGATAACTTTCGTGGAAGGCTTTATGCAAATTGAAACAAAATCTGTCGCATTTGAACATCTGAACATTTATTTTATTTGAATATATCTGGGAATTTAAGCTTAATAAATCACGGTCACGGAAATAAGGAAAGGCAGACGATCCTTCGATCTTCGCGGGAATTATGTAGAAAAATGCATAGGGGACGTAGATGGCTTGGATTGCTGCCAACGTAAGACTAGACCAGACGAAATGTCCTTGCGTATGTAAAAAATAATTTTAATCTTGAAGTATGGAATGAATTAATTTAGGAACTGATGAGCCAAGGTCCAACGATCTTTTGTAAGTCAAGATCAAATTTTACGCGTCAATTATGATTACGTTTAGTTGATTGCGTTTCTGATGAACATTTCAACTGGAAAATGTAGTATATACTCCTTCACCTCCGTCGGTGGCATAAATTTCCGCATAAAAATTTATTGCCACAACTTTTATCAATAAAATAAACCAATACCCTACACATAGTCGATAAGTAATATTAAGACAAAATGATTGTTTGTTTCGGATGAGATGAAAAATAACACCGAGTAACTATGGGTGTGGTTGTAGACTTAACAAAAGCCCAAAAGTTTTCAGATGTATCCACACACCCATTAATTGAGACAAAATGGGATGCGCGGATACTGTTTCAACCCTTATATTATTTTCAATTTTCTGATGTAGAGCGTTTGACGCTTCAAAACATAAGTATTCCCGAGATTCGAAGTTTAATTATTAACTTTAATTATTGATGCTTTTTGTAGCTAAAGTGAAATTATAATAATGCAAAAAAAAAAAAATGTTATTTAAAGTATAGAAAGCAATGCACACACATGACAGCTTTGTTCTCTGTTCGCTAATAGTAAATAAGCTAACAAAAATATTTCAAGAGTACCCTTAACGCACATTTACGCCTGCATACGTTTTATATATATTATAATAGAAAAAAAAAAGGAAGAAAATTTTTAAAATAATAATAATAAAATTTTATATGTAATCAAATTTGATGTTAATTCTACGCATCGCTGCCCATAATGAAATTGAGACAAAATAATTAAACATATTTAAGTTTCAAGAGTTCAATGTACGATTTTCATGAATTTGCGCAAAAGGCACGCACATAATGAGATTTATAACGGTACAGTATGACTATAGACATACTGAGACTGAGCGTGAACATTAACCGACAGTTAAATAAGACGCAAATGATGATGATGCTGATGTTGATGTTGATGCCGATGTCGATGTCGATGTTAAATAATTCACTGACTTTTTAATCATGTTATCCACTGATGTCGTTAATATTTAACTAATTTCTTAACTTGACGACGCTTCTCGACTAATTTCCATCTAATTAATACTTTATAATATATAAATGTGTATGATGTACGCATGTGTATGTAAATGTATTTTGTATGTATTTTTGGATTGAATAAATAACAAGAAATTTTATCGTTATATGATCTCAGTTGTATATATATATATATATATATGTATATATATGGGTAAGAGAAAGATTTGTTTACTTACAGGTAGATCAGGCAGAATATGCTGAGTGTAAATTTTCTCAACGATGGGCATTAATCTGTTCGACAGCAATGCATAATAGTATTTATAAACAGGGAATAAATACGTTACAGGGCCAGACCAATTCTTATTTATGACATCACGTACGTTCTCGTAGAGGACCAACATGTCCGGATGATCTTCATGTATGCAATGTAAATAAGCGAGAGTGTCAGGATCTATAAAATAAAATGTGTACAATTCATGAATTTGGGGTCGTTATGTGTTAGTAAATACCTTTTGACATAATGAATTCCAGGCGTGGTATATTATAACCGACACGCAATATCATTTTGAAAAGATCAATAAATAACTCTGGTAGGTCATCGACATAGGGGAATATATGTAATTTACCCCAATTAAATTGAAGGAATTCTATTATAGGCTCTGGCTCGATAATCTTCGTAAAAGAGAACCAAGAAGAAAGAAAAATACAAATAAAAAACGTTGCGAGGATTATGTTTTAATAAATATTATTTTGAACCTAAACCCTAGTGCCGGAGATTCTCGTTTATAAATTGTATGAGTTCTTCGATCTTCGCAAGCAATTTCATAAGCGAATTTAATAAAAGACAAGTGAGAATGCTAGTTAGTTGGCCAAGACCGACCATCGAATACCCTACACTTAATATGGTCATTCATATTTCACCGAAAGGTATGCGTTCTTTTTATGTAAATGTAATATATTCACGAAAGATCTCTCGTCGGAATATACTCGCATCGTCAATTAACTCTAATTGTTAAAACTTTTATAATTTTATTCCGTCATAGTAGATCACTAATTAGACATTGTTTCAATAGAAATTCTTGCCTTAATTAGCGCCCCTTTTTATGGACTTATGTAATCGAAATATGATGTCGTTATTTTACTAAAGACTAATTTTCATCATAAAATATTAAAAATTCGATCTATGCCATAGAGAAAAGCTTGTATTTTATTGTATGGGTTAGGATTCAAAAAATAGGCCTACGTGGTCCGAAATTGACAGGTTAATTTTTCATCAAGAACTATTGAAAATTATCCTTTTTTTATCATATAAAAATTCAGTTCCCTTGGGAACGGCCATATGGCAAGGAGTTCAAAAAATTGCCCCATCCGATCTATAGTTTTCCGAGATACTATTATTCAGTTTTCTTATTATTTTGGACTAATCGCTGCATGGGGAGGTGCAAAGGTCGAAAAACAACTCGGATAAGAGCAATTGAAATGAAAAGCGGTCATCCTTGCGTCAGGGTCCCGAAGTTCGTCAAAATATCACGAAAAATGCGATCTGTAGTTTGAACACAAAAATATATGGACAGAGATCAGAGGGACGGACAATAAATTATTATTGGAATGGTGAAATTTCTGAAAAACTGCGTTAGTTCAGTGCAAATGTTCGAGAAAAAAAAAAAAAAACGAATGCTCACCTGCTCTATTCCTAGGGCTGCAAATGTACTCGAACGCTTATAAAATGGGCTAGCATCGTCTTCATCTTCGCGATAGATACCCGGTATTTTATGTTCACGTGACCAGTCCGCATTAGTAGGATTGTCAAAATGAGCTCCAACTACCGAAACTATTAGTGTCATTAGAGGGCGTCTTTTCAGTTTCGGATCAAAAACATTATATTTTTCAATAGTATTGCCGTCCGTGTATGCGCATAAAGTTCTATATAAATATTCCAAACTGCGTGTTATTAAACTTTCTAAATGGTGAGACATCAGAGCGTGCACACAACGAAATAATACACCAGCTCGGCCACCATATGCACCAGTCATGGGTATTAAATCTTTCCAAGTTTTTCGCATAACATCCATCATATCCGCACATCGAGGTAACCAATCATTTATAAGCAACTAAGCGTTATTAACAAATATTTAAATCTATGTATGTACCGTACTCAGTAGATTATAATCTTTTAAGGAATTACTTACGTCTTTTATTGTGTCGCAACTTTCCTGAACAAATTTATAAATTTGATCGGCATTGAAAGATTCTTCACTCAATAACAGCGTAGCGGCATTTACTACCACCAAATCGTTATATCTGTAAGGTGTTTTTTAGAAAAAATCAAAACGAAAATTAATGGTTGCGTTTGCTTAAAAGTGAAGTTCACTACAGAATTGTTTTAAAAGTTTATTGAGTGATAATTCGAAGGAGAGATTTTACCTCAATATAAGATTCTTACAGAGGTGGGGTGATACCTCAGCTATGCTATTTCTTCGCGTATGGTTTCTTAGATATCGACTCGATCGAGTTTGATAACACGTTTTATAAGTAGTTAATAACTTACGATGGGCAACCGTGATAGTGCCAGTGATTTTTTCTATACGCAAAACGTCTTACTAGCAACGTGCGAATGTTGATAATAAGAAAAGGAAACGAAAAAAGATTTCGCAAAATCGGGTAAAAGTGATTAAATTAAATTTTATTCAAGTAGACTGAACGACTAACACGACGCGTCGTCCTCGAACTTGACGAAGACTTTTTTTTAGAGTATTTGTCAACTGTTTCTGCGAAAAACGCAGGCGAAAAGCGCCCTGGCGCTTTCACGATCCCCGAAATCCCATTTTAAATGTCATGGAACTAATGGAAGTCTTTTTAATATTCATGTACTGCATTCGTGCGAGTACTGAAGAAGAAAAAAATTTGTTTTTTGAAAATTAAATGAAGCAAACCTAGAACCCTTAGAATTCGCCATAAACGCACTCCTAGCGTTTACTTAAGTTAACCATCATCCCGCTTTGAGGAATGTCGCTGAAACTGAGAGCAGTCAGACTGGAAAATGACTACTGAAAATGGTTCGAGATAAACTTTCCACTATCTTTGAATGTAAAGGACAGAGGATAGCCACCTTGCAATTACTTTCTTAAGCATAATCTAGAGGAAAACATTTATTCACCGCTAAGACAGGCTTTATTAAAAGTTGAAGAATATATATGATAAAGAATAACTCTGGTCGCTTTTAGGTAAGGCCTTCGGAATTGTATATTACGTGTTTGGGTTAAAATGTTCTCCTGCGTTTTGCCTAAATCCATAGGTTTGAATTAGTACATATAGAGGTTAGGGCATATGATGCCATTATACGAATTTGCAAATATTCAGAAATAATTGTCGGATGCATATTATAATTGCGTACGCAGTGCTCGCTATTTGGCTATCGTTTACAGATTTACCATCATGTTTGTGAAAACCAACTTGGTGCTGCCTCCTGGCCGGGCAAGCTCAGCAAGCAATCGAACCGCCGCATACCAAGCTAAATTACTAAAAATGACAATAAAAGCTTATTACGATCTAAGTGAACGCATTTGCGATTACAGCTCGCAGTATTTATATATATACATATATATATATAGGTTGTACAGATGTACAGATCCTCTCGCGAAAGGGCATAAAGAGAATGAATGATGAGATGAATATAACTAACAAAGGCTTCGATCTCACACGATTGATGTAAATTTTTTAAGAAATGCTTGCTTCGAAGTTTTGTAAGTAAAGAAATCATTCGATATCATGTTACATCTTAATTAAGTAACAATGCAATATTTAATACCGGGCAATAAACTTAAATTGATGCTGTGCGCACGTACCTGAATCGTAGCGTACTTACAATTGGTGCCAAAGTATATTGAGCGCTCTTATAACGGGATGTGTTGTCATAAGCACTTGATCCAAATGGTTACGTGCTAATTGCACATAAGCCTTCCATGGCACTGGTGCTTTAATAGTCATTACAGGAAACTCTGGCGGCTCAAGTTCCAATTGAAAGCGTCTACGTTCGAATGGAGATCTTTATATGAAAGAAGACAAAAAGACCGAAAAACAAGATAAAGTCCAACCGCTACTATAAAATAATTAAAAACTCAAAGATCTCTTACGATGTTTTATGTGCTTTGAAAACACATAACTAACTGTACAATTTTTTTAGTCAATGTTGCAGACAAAAAAGCTTACTACTGTGTGTATATAAAAATCCATAGTTGTCTTCGTTTTTTTAAATAATAATTTTGTTAGAATATACAAGTTTATAGATATATGTGTATGTGTATGTATAAAAGGTGCATTAGTATTTTATTATGTTCTTTAATTTAGAAAACAAATCCCGTAAAAGGTTATTTACAATTTTTCGTTTGCTTTTTAAGCATTTTATTAATCGTTTATTTATCTTTCTTCTCATGTGTTAATTAAGTAAAACTTTCTAAGATTTCTACCCCAAATGTACTTTAACAACAAACCATCCAATGTCCGTAACACGTTTCACTTGTCTAATTATTTGCCGTCATAAGTACTTTGCCATCATTTCTTTTAAAAAGTTTATCTCACTATGTCTGCCTGCCTTTATTCTTTATATGTATCTATGTATGTCTGATGCTACGCACACATATTCATATATATAGGAAAACGTTTCTGTTATTTAAAGGCTGATTCGTGCGGCAACTTACTGGAGAAGATAACGTAGGAAAGCACGTTTTACGTTATAACGAAAATCCTCTTGCAGATCTATAAGACATGAGATAATTAACACAGCGACATCGGTTGGTATATGTCGCTCATGGCTGAAGAGATAATCCATTAATATAACTTCAGGAAAAATGTTTGGCCATAATTTCTGTAAAACACACACAAAAAGAAGAAGAAAAGAAAATGTTAAGTTTGCAAACATTATCCGGAATTGCTAGAATATATATATATATATATATATATATATATATATATATATATGTACGTGTGTAAATATTAGATATTAAATGCTTGCATATGCTCTTAAGGATAACGGTACGAGATTTGAAAAACAGAAGCGTTTTCAACGTTTGCAATATCGTGAACTTTAGAGAGCACAATAACGATACATAAATAAAAAAAAAAAAAAAAAAAAAAAAATAGCTCAGCAATAAATATCAAATTTAAATATTTTTAAGGTGAAAAATCGCCAATTGATGCATAAACTGGTCTCAAATTACAATGTTCAGGCTAAAGAGCGAGGTTGCGACCACAAAGCTTTGGCTACCAGAAAAAGGAAAAAAGAAAATATAATTAGTTATCTTAGATGGTATTTTCAGTAACTCTCTCTATACACTTAGCTTTCACATTTGCCATTGATTAGCTGCGTCGTCTAATGACTGAGGTGTTAAGCCGTGGTATCAACGCTACTCTATTTATATGCAGTAATGTTTTAATCAAAGAGAGAAAACAATTGTAAGCAATTGACACTTCGCCAAGCGCGAAAGTTGACGGGCGCACGGGAAGTTTGATAGCTTCGCACGAAGGTAATGCTCTGGTAACATTATCACCATTAAACTAACTACAGTTGTTGCTGGCATTCGGTATTTGTAATACAATATAACCTTTGCTTGAAAGAGTTTACTATAAATAGAGAGTATAGCATAATAATACAGTATATCTGCTGCATGGACTGCAAATTAATTTCTTTGCTTATCGTACTTGTTAGCTGATCACTTCAAAATTAAAACCTTTTTTTTTGTATCCAAATTCTTATTATAGCTTTCATGATTGCGATTGCAAACGGATATAAGATTTTTACGGTTTGTTAACTTTTTCATGCGTATTTTTACTGCTTGCATTATAGTAGACAGCATAACCTTTTGGTGCTGCGTGTAAAAATTCATAATTTCATAGTAAAATCGTCATTCTTGTCTTTTGCGTCATTTGTACTGTAATACTCAGAGCGAAGATTGCAAATGAAAATCTCGCATTGCATCACCTTTTACATACTGTTGCAGAGAATTAAATAAATGCCTTTTCCCGGTAACTAAATGCTAGATACAGTCTTATTTATATTACATTACACACATTGCAAAAAAATAAAAAGAATCGATTCTTTCTGTTTCCACTAGACATGATTGCTATCTGTAGGTGGAGTATAGAGTATAGAGCGTTTCTTACTTGTAACACAGACAATTGTATTTCCCAGAGCCGCCGCACCCGATTGAAACAGTGAAATTTTCACGAGAAAATAGTAAATCATCATAAGTAAACGACTATCTCTCCTCGCAGTAAGTAGTTATTTATTTATTTATGTTTCCCTATAGAACTCGTCACAAATTTATATATGTCGAGATATATCGAGAAATTCAGTATAAATATTGCGTCAGTTAAAGTGAAAGTAAAGCAAAAATTCAGTTCACTCACACTTTTTAAGCACCTTAGATCTTTCCCTATTTCATATGAAATTTGATGCATACTCTGCGATAGATCGGCCCGATTACATACAATTCTAGACTTAAACAAATCTGTATGGTATGGTGTTTAGGTTGTCGTTTTACATTTTTGTCCGCCTTTCGGCACAATATAAAACACACAAACAATCTTATAAAAAAAAAAGAAAAGAAAAATGGATATTGATGGTCAGCATGAATTGTTCAGCGTGAATGGGTATTACTTGTTATCGACCCTATTAAGAAAAAATTCACTGAAATCTTTCATTGTTATATTTTGTGTTTTCGCTTTTTTTAACCACGATGGGCGGATTATAGGTTTATTTTCAAACTGGACTAGGGGAAATGATATATTGGATATAATTTCAGATTTCTGTCGTCTTCTGAGATACTAATATTTTTAGAGCCGGATGAGCGTACAAACCACTACTTGGACGAAATGCTTGTTGGACGTGTGCAAAATTGAATAAGCAACCACACGCAAAGTGTTAAATTGGATTTTCACTTTTATATTTCTATGAACTCTAAATAAGAATCTGTAATGATTGTTGAAATAACTCTTCGGCTGTTTCATGGGCATGAACAGAAAAGTCTTATGCACTGTTACGAAAATCTCACAATTGACGTTTGAAGTTTTCATGAAAATTTGACGATTTTCTAAGAAATCAAATAGCGCACAAAGGTGAAGCCATAGACACATTCATGACACTTCGCCCGTCTCATTTTGCTGACGACTAGCGAAGAGATTAACAACAATTAGCACAACATTTAATGGAAAAAGGGTTACTGGCAAGTTGCTTGTAGGCAGCATATTTCCAGAAGGCAAAGCCAGTCAAGTTAAGACAGTTGAGTTGTAATAGTCAAAAAAAGAACAAGACCAAAAAGAAATTTTTGCATATATTTTGTAAAGAGATTTCCTCAGAAATGGAAATAGAAGCTGTACTCACCTAAAGATCGCAACAATTCAGTGGCGCTTAATTAAAACGTAAAATTCACAAAACTATAGTACGCGTTACCCTGCTTATATTATTTAGTTTAAAGCGCTTGACGATTTCGAAATGGTCAGTTCAGAAGTGAGAAAAAACTGGCCACGCCTTATCAATATTATAAAATTTTAAATTTTATTCTCTTGTTAAAACGTTTGCAATACCCAACCGGAAGTTTGGGATACCCTACATAGTTTATGTGTTCTTGATCAGTATCGAATTTGAATTGTTCTAGGCATGTTTGTCAGTCCGTCTGTCAATATATCTGTTAACTGCTGTAGTAAAAGTACTTATGGTCGCAAAGATGGAGATATCTTCTCCATCCACACACACACACACACACACATACACTCACATACACCAAGTAAATTTCCTCACCCACTCAATACCGTATTGTTTCGTCTTTCTTATGTTTAGTCAGGTGTAATAGATTCGCTCACATCCGAATAAAACGTCCTTACTTGTTATTAGCTGAAATATTCTTGCTTATGTAAGACTGCAAGTTATTTGGTGCGTTTGGGTATGTACGCACGTAAACGCATACAGTTTATTCCAACCTCAATTTGGTTTACTGTTTTGCGGCATGATTCATACCAATGCGTAGTGGCCAAGGTATGGTCATCCCTAGGGAGACTGTTGTGCGGCCTCAACATCCACAGTTAAAGGTGAACGTTGCACGTGCATAAGTACAACGAATATGTCACAATAAATTTATTTTATCTATATATATATATATATGCAGGGATGCAGGGATGATGCTATATTCAAAAATTGCATTAAATCGCTTTATATTCGTTTATTTCGTTTAGCGACGAGCAACCAATAGCCGTGCTAGACGTCTCAGTTATTTTTATCGCAACTTTTGCTTCGCAAGCCTTCCAATTGCTGTTGATTCCCTTTGATATACCTTGTTGGCGTATGGAATATCATCGTATCATATAATTTAAAAGTTCTTATTACAACAATTTAACTTTTAACTTTTCCTAAGCTCAACAAGTTTTGTATTAACCTTTCTGTTAGTTGCTAGTTTGACGTCACAAAGATTATTGCACGACGAACAAGACAAAAAAGAAAAAAAACAAAAAAAAAATAAAAGGAAAAAAATAGAAGAAAAACGAAACGCAATGAAAACTTACCTCCTCTTTCAAAATAAACTTGTAAGCATCTTGAAAAAACGACAGTTTAGGAGTAATTTTTGGTATAACTTTCTTAATCAACTTGGACGGATAAGTCTCCAGACTTAATATATCGAGCTGTCAAATAGAAGAAAGCAAACGTTCCAATAAATGCAAGTAATAATCATTGAAAGTTATATAAATAAATTTTTGTTATTAAAAGAGAGAGAGAGAGAGAGAGAGAGAGAATACAGAATTTATTTAAAAAAACTAAAAGAAGTAAAAAAAAAAAATTATACACATCTCGTTATATTAACACAGAGAAATACAATTGCTTTTCCTTTATCACGCAAAAGTTTCTTTGCAAATTTATGATAGGCAGTATTAGTATTACTTTTACTAAAGTTCTCATTATTATTGTTTGACATATTCACCTGGAGGTGAAAGCGAAGCTTAAGTTTTCGTCTCCTTTTTGACAAAACATACAAATCGAATATGAAAAAACGAATCAACAATGTAACGGTTTCTTTCTATTCCAGTAGTCGAATAAGGTTGCCTTGGTTTAATTATACTAAATGTAATATGAAATAAAAGACATGTGACGGCATAAGATTATTTTGCTTTAAAACTAACTTAGGGAAGAAAAAAAACCACAAATACTGAAGAGATTTCAAGTTCAGTTAATTCCCTTAGACTATACAAAGATTAGGTGCTAGGGATTTTCAAATTTCAAACGTTTCATTAAATCAGTATGCGTTGTGATGTTGCAGCGCAGCATTTTCTCTTGGAAAATTCCAGCGGTGGTATAGCGATCCTCCAGTACCGTAACATGATAGAAGGAGACGATGGAGTATTAGTTTTCATTAGCAAATCAACGATTTAACTCTCGGTAACGTAAACAAGTTATGTCGAAAAGGATTTTCTGCTTCCTTTGGATAGGATTTTTCTTCTTTTTTGTTTTACACATTGCTTTCATATATTGTTCATTTTTCTATATTTGCTTCAATTATATAAACAATGTGTAAGCTATATAAATATTTGAACAAATTAAAAGAAGAAATAATATTTTCATCGAATTATATTTTGATAATTATGGGGTGTTCCCACCAATCTCTCTCTCTCTTTCTCTCTGTCTCTCTTTCTGTGCGAATCTCAAGCGAGCCTATGAGCCGTTTATAGTCGCAGAATTAAAAAAAAAAGAAAAAAGTTAATATCAAGAGAGCACTTCTCGATGAAATAGAGGAAGGACGGTTGCAATTGTTGTTTTAATAGACGGAACTATGGATATAAACCTATTGTAAAAATATAAGCCCGTGTTATGTTATCGCTTACAATATTTTATTTACAGAGAGAAGTTGTCCATATTTGATTGTCGCTCGCATATAAAAAGCAACTAAGAAAATCTACGAATTCCAGAATGAGAGTGTAAATAATTAAATGTCATTTTCATTTGGTAAACAATTTTATAAATTTTTTTTTTTTTTTTTTTTAATTTATAAATATTCGATGTGGTTTTTGCAACAAATTAATTAAAGTGTACATTTCGCCCAAAGGCAAATCAATTTTTGTTATTGCATCAACATCATCATAAATAAGAAAATTGAGTAATTGATTTTATGTGTTAAAAGAATTAAAAACAAAAAGAGAAAATACATACATTTTAGAAAAAGAAGCTTTAAACAACAAACCTATTATTGAAAAGCTTTAAATTCAATTAAAAAATTTTTATATCGAAAATGAACTATAAGTATGCTGGAGTATTTGTGAACCAGCCTGATGAAATGTAATCTTGTAAAAAAGCAAAGAGAAAAAGAAAAAAAAACAAAAAAAAAGCAAAAACAAAGCAAAGTAAGGAAATTGTACTCGGCTGCGAACGAATCTTTTACACCCATCGCCATTATTCGAAGAAAAACTAAAATAATTGACTGTGTGTGGAAATTGATGTAGTGTTTGTGCGTGTGTGTGTCTGAAGCAGATGTCTCCGTTTTTTTTGGCTATGAGTAAGTTTACCGCACCAATTAACAAAAACCTGCACTGTTGGATTTAGACAAAGATATCTCGAATGGTTCGGATTCGCTACCGATCGTTAATGTGTAGGTAGAGTTTATTGGGCCACGCACGCAAGTTTACTTTTGCGGGTCGCAAGCGTTTTGAAAACATGCTTATATCCCTTATCCCTTGTGATGATGAGGGCTATAAGAAAGACCTGCGTACAAGAGTAGCACTTTTCTCCATTAGATTGAATTCACAAAATTTTATTGCGCATAATTTTAAGTAATAAACAAAAAAGAATTTCTTATTGTCTGCTTCAAGTTCAAGTTAAAAAGAACCGCATTGTGGTGTGTCTGCTACTATGTATGATTGGTGATTAATTTTGGTTTCTTCAGTTGATTGAGTAAAAACTGAGTTAAAGTAACAAAGAGATTAGTAAATTAGTTATAACCTAAGTGTTGTTTGTTGTGCTTAAAATTTTATTATGATAATCACTCATTCCTTTCCTTCCCATCTTCCTATAATATACGATTTTATTATTTGATTTTGGTAAGTTATTACGAGTGATAGCAATTGTGCTGATAGTGAAAAATTAGTTCCGACAGTGAATATGACCAGTGTTGACTTTGACTGAATATATGGATTTTTACTCAGTTAGTGCTCAAAAGCATAGTATGTTGAAGTTTAAAATTTTCTTGACCCTCTACGACTAAGGTTTAGTCGTACATTTATTAATACAATAATAAATGATGGACGTAACATATCAGAAAGATGAAGAGTTAGGAAATGGTCGCGGCCTACTGAGTGTTTGCCCAATCGGCAAGCGTTATGCTTTTTCCCACCGAGTACTCACTACCGTTACGACTGAATATGAGATTTGAGTCTTTCGGTTTACCTACAGCCCGTCATTGGAAGGTTTAAAAGGTTTATACGAAAACTTGTCACAAACATACTCACAAATTATGTTTTAAAATAAACGTCATCGACAAACAAATATTTTCACATAAGATACAAAATTGCATCTTGCATCCAGTAAAGGGGGCAAAAAAACAAAAAAAGGAATGAACGAATCTTTAATAATTTAAGTGAAACAAATTACTTTGTCATTATAAACGAAGGAATTAATATTCGATTCGAGTTGAAATCTTTCAAAATCACTAATAGCTTATCAAAGATACTGGATTACAAAAAGTAGAACCTCCATCCATCAATTCAGTAGATTCGTATGCGGGACACCGTAATTATACACTTTAGCAATGCCGCTTAAGTACCTGCGTAAATTGGGAACTATAAGTGAACCATAGTCCCATCCTATCCTAGACAAACATAAGTAAATCGATATGGCAGGAAACTGCCATGTGTGCATTCAATACCGGACTCTAAGCGCCACGCACATTCAACATGCCTTATGAACGTAATGCAATACTGAATATAGTTGAATTTTCTCTCTTTCCAGCTGGTGCTGCTAGGTGTACCAATTTCTAAACTTTTTTTTTTTTTTTTTAAATTTATGAAAATTAATTGTGAAATATTAAATTTTTAAATTAAGTTTGCTTCGTTTCATCAAAATCAGCTTAATGTTTTTAATGTAACCAGAACCTTGCTGCTTTTCGTAAAAAAAAAGAAGCAAATTCACCAATAAAAAATAATGGAAAATAATTCTCATCTTTTTCATTTCAAAAGTCAACAGCCTACGGACACATAAATGTGAAGTTACGAAAAAAAAAAAAATAAATAAATAAAAAAAAAAATATGAACAAAACAAGTAAGAAGACTATACTTGGTCGTGACTGAATCTTTTACACCCATTGCTGTTAACCTAAAACGACCGCAAATGTAAAAGATTTAAATTTTCATCTTCTATAACATGGAGGATGGTGTGGGCGATGCTGATTTTTCTCATTTTTAAAATAAAACTTTTTGCCGCATAGGCGCGTGGGCATTGTAGGCGTGTCCTTTGAAAAGTTTAGGTCGTTACCAAATTCTTTTGCAAATTTGTAGGCGATATCTTCAATGCGAACGGCAAAATGTTTACCGCCGACGCTAAACAGTTGGTCATATGGACAGGTTAGGTGGATTTCAAGTTTGCAATCGGGTAAGAGTTTATATATTTATGGGGCTTTTCAAGCATGTGTCTGCGCACACTCTATTGGGTAGGCGTGGTCAATTTTTTCCATTTTCATACAGGTACTACAACATCGCCCATAGACTGTACATTTATCCGGTATAAATTATGAGCAATGATCAGAAACAAAGGTGTCTTTAGTTTACGCAGCATTGTAGGCGTGTGCTTCGATCGATTTGTCTCATTTTCAGTATCGATATGCGTCCATGATTTGGCAATATTTCCGCTGGATCCGAAGTTGATAGCTTCATTTCTACGGCCAGGAGAATGTTTACAGCAGACATTATACAGACAGACAGACGAACAGGCGAACACATTAAAATCGATTGAGAGCTAAGATGCTGATCAAGATTATATATCATTTGTACGGTATCCGAAGCTTCGGTCCTTCCGGGCGTTGCAAGCGTTTTCACAAAATGAATATACCCCGTCAGACTTCGGTGATGAGTATAAAAAAGACGGAAATATGAAAATAAACATTTCTTTGGGTACCTCTCGATGTACACCCACACGCTCACATGTAACCACTGGCTAATTATAAAAAAAAAAAAAAAAAAATTATAAAAAAAAAAAACAAATTAATTTGGATGAAAAGTGCAATGTGCAGTCTTCTCAACTAATTAACAAATGCAAACAAAATTCTATACTATAGGAGTTTGCTACTTAAAAACGTGTTTCATACGCTTGGTACAATTTCGTAGTAAAGATTCCAGGCAACCGATTCGTGTTTACACATATAGAAAGAAGCTCATAAAAGTATATACACATTTATGTGTACATCTAAATGCCAGGGAATTTCGTATCTTGCTTTCGCTTGTCCAGAATGTAATATATTTAAGGTGTGTGCAAATGGTTGTTGAACACTATGTTGAAAAAAAAAAAAAAAAAAAAAAAAAAAAAAAAAAAAAAAAAAAAAAAACGAATTAAAAAAGCCTAGGAAAAGATTCTATTCAACTCAAGCTGAATTTTCAATTCTATGCAAAGAAATGCACCAAATGAATCTGTGAAACGTAGCGCAAGGCGATAAAACTGACTTATCGTAAACTCTATTTACTTTTATGCCCGTCACCGAAAGGTCGGGATAAGTTTATTTTGTCAAAAGCAAAGGAAAGTTTAAGAGACTCGATAAGGTGTACATATCTTTGATCAGAATATCAAATTCTGATTCGATCTAAGCATGTCTGCCTTTGCCCGTCCCCCCTTCTTTTGATAGACAATCTTCAAAGTGTCAAAGCTTTGGAGCTTGAGTGCAGTCCGGCATTAGAAACGGAAAGGACGGGACATTTGTTCTCAAGAGCGACAAAATTTGGCTTTTCGTTCATTAATTGCATACTACAGCGGATACAACAACCAAATTTGGTTTATATTCTATTAATAACCGCATCGATAGATAGGGAAAAAAATTTCCAAAAAAAATATCTCACACATCCTATCAAAATGTTGTTTCTTCACGTTTTTGTCTTAAGCCAGACACATGTGTGTAATACATTTTTCTTACTTGTGCTATCGGTTTACATATATTTCATATCCATACAAAAATTTTATAGCCATTGATTGAAATTAACCTGCATTGTTAAATAATATTTTGTTTCACTTTCGTGCTACGAAGCTTCTGCAGACTTTAGTCACAGCGTCAACAGGTGCGGACATTCGATTTATTGTTTAAGAGCCGAATGCTGGCGTTGTGATCGGACATGTGACCATAGGAGAGAACAAAGTTCCAATCAAATTTTCGACATTAATTGTTTTATGAAACATGTCTCATGAAGTCAGGAAGTCTGACTAACATAGTGCACCCCCTACGCATTAATTTTTATTCCTTACGGTATAACTGCATTAGTTAGTATATTACTTGTTTATGAAACGTATACTGTAATGCATGTCATGCATATGTGCTTCACACTGATTTTGATAGATACCATAGCATATGTGTACGCATGTGTACGTGTATTTCATTTGAATGATAGAATAGTACGGGGGGGGACATGAACGAATTTAGTTACAATGCTTGTATATAAACGATCATAACTCCTAAGAAAATTCTCCGAGAACTTTTCAATTCAATACTGAATTTGAATTGAAATTTATTTCTTTCAACGAAGCAGCGACCACAACTACAATTACATCTTGGTTACCTATCAGTTTTTATTGGGACACTATGCAAAAATTGGAAGCAGGATGGCCATAATTCGGGCATGATAGGGGAATCATTGAAAAGTTGAGTGAGACTATTGTGTTTGCGGGTCTAAAAGTATTAGCACAGGACAATATCGCGGCAGGGGTGCTTAAGGTTCTCAATGCACAGATGATGGGCAAACTTGAGAAAAATAATTCGAATAATGAGTTTACTCACATGTCGAATTAAACTTTTGTATCTTTTTTCGATTTTTAATGTGAACTTTTCCTCCGCCTCTTTTAGTATTTTTGCGTAATTCTTAAGCATGATGTCCTTCTGTATTTCGGGATCAACGGGTAAATAGCCTTGCAAATATTTGAAATTTCTGTTGAAGACGATCGAAAACGATTGATAGCAATATGACATTCAATAATAATAGCGTCAATCGTAATAGTAAAATATATGGAAAAAAGTTTTACTTACTGACTTTCTAATGACTTTAAACATGTTAAAAAGTCTTCATCCGATTTAAAGTCTTTGCGCCTAATAAAAGGTTTTTCGAATTCACATCCTGCTCTCAACTGGATGACAAAATTGTTATTAATCATTTTAGCTTATGCGTAAGGAAATGAAAAAGTATTTGGGCGCAAGAGCAATAATTACCCGCTTCAGTTTTGGTCTCTTGCACGAGCAATCATGATCAAGTCTAACTTTGACCGTACATTTATCGGATCGCGAGCTTGATGGCTCAGACATTTCACCTTTGACGTCTTCGTTAAAAGTTTCCAGCGTTGGTGCAATTAGTTGGTCAATAATTTTGCCCATTCGTGCGAGTTCCATTCGACATTCTGGGTACATTGAACGCCAAAAATAAATAAAATAAGATCAAAACAAAAAGTTGCTTATAAGATTTGTGCTTGCAATCGTCTTTCCCATCAAAAAGCCAAATAAATTAAGAAACAAAGTGCGTATGTCGATTATGTCTATTCAAAGTTATTGGATGCTAATGAAAACTTATTGACGATTTCAAAAGGTTAGCTCTGCTCTTATGATCGCATGCTAGAGAAGATCAAGTAAACTTATTTCTGTAGCAACGTTGTTACATAAATCCAATAAAATAGGAAAACTAAGATATTCTTGTCGCTCGCTTAACCTCGGTCGTTGAACTCTTTTTAAATATTTAGCATAAAACATTTATCAAAGAACTCACCTTCACGTGTCCTTAAAGCGTAATGATCGCCCACCTTAAACAAGGGCTCTTTTCGTGGAGGATGCAATGTACTCACACGCAATTTTCGAGCACTTGGTGTGTTGTAACTACCTGTAAAAACACTCCTATATACATTAGAAATTCACCTTTTTTTTTTTTATTTTTTTTTTTTTTGCTTTGGCGAGTACTTACCAATAACTTCCGTTGGAGTGCCACGAATTCTTGCCAAATTGTTAGTAAGCAGAGGATATTTGGTACGTCCATCGGCGCTAAAGGCTTTCATGCGATATGCACAATATAAATACAATATCGAACTAGTCACTGCACGAACGCTCCTTTCGGTGGGTTGGCCTATCATTTAAAAAATTAATTATAAAACGCAATGATGCAAATCAATGTAAAATTTATTTATAATTTTTTCTACGACGTAAATGTGTAAAGCATGTAAAAGAATGTCTCTTGTACGGCACGTAAACCATTAGCACAATGAAACGAACTTGAGCCTCGTAGAAAACGAATTTGAAATTGTTGCTCTCTCTCTCTCTCTCTCTCTCCGCCGTAGTACTACGGTATGAGCACTTTTGCACAGCATGGAAATTTGGCAAAAAGGTTTGAAAAGTACTTTCAAGTATGAATTCATATGATAGAGATGCAAATGGGCGAAATTTTCTAGTTTGGCTGCCACGACAATAGACTGCGCTCAACCGAACGATTTTGGTAAAGCTTTTCATAAAAGCAACAAATTCACGGAAGAAACATAAGACATGTTAGAGCCTTCACAGAGCTCTGTTAAGTTAATTGTTAAATATCTTCGCTACTTAAGTTCGAAGATATAATAATAATAAATTCGCGAATCTTCCAATCAGAATCATCGATTTAGGCTACAAAGTTATTAAAAACTTTGCTAAGAATTCTCAGAATTCAATTCGAAAGAGGCGACGCCTAAATATTTTGCTTTGAAATTGAAATCGAGAATTGGACCAGTTGGCGGAAATGCTGTTGAACCTGAGACAGTTCGCGGCTAAGTTTGTTCTTTAGGCAAAAACATCGGGGCAAAGGTATATAGTTAGATCAACTCAGCTATTCACGCTGGGGATGTAATTCACATTATGTTCAACGCGTGTACAAGCATTTAGAGCTTATCCCTTTGAATGGGGGAATCGAAATTGTTTTGATCTACCCTTGTTGTGACGCGAAAATGTGAAGTGATTATAAAAAACGAGCTTTGCATTGTTTGGTGTCATTATATGAAAAACTGCACAAAACATAATTTATCCAAATCTTGACAATGTAATAATTAACCTGCACACATAATGATAATAATAATAATAATAATAATAATGATAATAATAAATAATAAGACGTACAAACAATTACATACGCTTACGTAATCCGCTTACCATCAATCATACTATCATCAATCCAAGGATATGGATCTTTGCATACTGCGTTCGCATATGTGCATGAAATTGAAATTACATAATGAAAAAAAAAAAAATATATATATATATATATACATATACATATATTAATAATATATACTGAAATAATAAATAAATTTATTTTTATTAATTTCAATCAAAGATAATTTGTTATTTTTAATATTGCCTGATATTCCTTTTTTTCGACATTATGCACATATGTATGTATGAAATGTAGAAATATGTAAATATGTAAAATGTATATATAAGTTAAACATCAAATTTACGGAAAAATATGTAAATAATTACATCGAAAAAACTTTGTCCAATACATATTTTAATATATTATATAATTTGATAGCAGAAAGTGTACAATGCATTTTTCTATTTTTTATTTATTTATTTATTTATTCTTTTTCGTAATTTTGTTTAATTTAGTTATATATTAAATTTTATTCATTCGAAAAGTAAGACCCACTGAAGTGAAAAGATTCATTTAAGTTGTTTATCTTTGCTTTTACGGCAATAATTTGGCAAATCGAGTTAATTTCGTCTCCATAATAATAAGTATGGTCTCAATTATATGTGTGCTCTTAGTCGATTAGGTGTTTTAGTCGAGACGCGTGAAATTACTGTTATATTGAACTCGTAATACAACTCTGGGTATATTTTTGGCAAATTTCACTTCGTATGCGATAAAAGTAGAGCATTCGAAAATTGACTCGTTAGCTTGTAAAGAAGGGCCCCTCTTACACGGAATTTCCCATCAAGGATGGGTAGCGTACATGGGGATGAGGCAACTTACAATGGATTCAAATTTCTTGAATCGATCAATTACAATTGAATATCTTCATCCTACGTTGTTTAGTAAACGAAAGTGCTACTACGAGTTCAATAGTTTATCGGTTTTATAAGTGCAACTTTGTATAAACCCATTTTTTTTGGTCCGCATGGGTACCATCTTTATTACATATAGAAACCGCATGTGCTATATTCTTGTTTAATAGGGACTACAATTTGAAGTGCAGCTCTGTTCAAACTGTTAGAATAGGGCCAAAGGAGAAAAGAATTAAAATTCATTTGAATTGATTTCATATACGCTTGAAAATGACGAGATCGTATTTTTAGACCATAAAGCCTTTTAATTGTACGTAAGCGGAGAAAAGATCCCATAACGAAGAAATTAAGTGAACATATTATGTACTTTAACTGCTCATACATTTGCATTTCATATATAAATACATTTTTGTAAGAACGTAAGATGGTTAATCACAGAGTGACGGACGGACCGATTCAAGAAATTAATTGTTTTTCTTCTGCAATTTGACAAGAAATTAAGCTGCATGTGTTTGCTTGGCAGTAGTTTCAATTAACAATTAATTTGAAAGACATTTCTACAGCCTCATATTTTAGGACATTTCATGTTTTATGTGCACTTGTCTTGCAAAACAAATGAATTTCTGCCAAAGTGAATTGAAACATCAACAACTCGCCTCCTTTACAATTCGAAAATGTGTGAATTCGAACTATTACGCAATCTTTTGCTGCATTTACTTCTTCAATTTATTCGCAACACTTTGTTGGGGGGGAGGGGAGGAGGAGGAATTTAGTAGAGCCGAAGACGAAGATTTGCAAAGAGTTTCGACGAAAAACAAAACAGTTACTGAAAATTCTCCCCATATGTGCTGAGAAATTTACGGAGTACTTGAAAACGATGGGAACAGTGCGAAAAGACAGGAAACTGTAGCCGAACAAATTACAAAGGGTGTATATCAATGTGTAAACACCGTTGTTAACAAATTAAAGGAATACTTTCCCGCTAGCTCTGGCAATAACTCAAAGAACGAAAAGATAGTCCTAAACTCGTCGATATATCCCTACCCGTCTCAACACTAGCATAGAAAGGGAAACGACGTCATAAGCTAATTGTAACTGTCATTTAAAGTTACCGTAACCCATAGAGCTGCAGAAAGAAGAAATGCTGTAAACGAATTACTTATACAATAATAAAAAAGGGCACTTATGTATCGTGTGATAGTGATATTGAACCAAAATGGAAAAACCGTAAACACAGAATTGATCGATTGAATAGGACCAACAGGAGAAATAGAAATGAGTTCGAATGAGTTCGTTAGAAGCGTTACGTTTTCTTTTTCATCGGTTTTCAGCATTACTAAAGGGGGCAGTTAACTCTGATGGGTGTGGTCTTGGCTAAAGTTAAGGGATTCAAAGTCAAAGCCAATGTTCACCTTTTCCAATACTAATGCATATAATCGCATCCCAATAAAAGTGGCACTTAAACCTGTCTAAGATACATACCGCCAAAGCCATAATGAAAATCGGGTATAGCTCGTAGTTGTTCGAACGACTCTGGCAGAACAATGTCACCCAATTGCAAATCCTTCAAGCTGTCATCGTCGCAGTCGTCGTATTTCCATTTTACGTGAACCACTTCGTATTTGTGAAACTCCAATTCAATATTGTAGCGCCCGGTAACGACGTCAGATTGCATATGAGCTGTTGCGAAAAATTTGCGAAAAAA